ATGATGACGTGTATGCCGCACACTACTTCTATTAGATTCACATTGAGCGACACTTTTTTCGTGTACAAAGAATTTTTTCCTTTTAGGAATAAAATCTTGTTCTAAAGTATACAAACAAGACAAGGTCTAATTATAGGCCACTGACCACTAAATCTAGCGCTACTTTTTGTCCCTTGGGATCCAAAACTGTGCCCGGTGAATCTGCATCACAAGGAAGAGGCTAGCCGTACTTAATAATGATAGCTAGGTTGACAAAGAGCAAAATATAGGCCTACTGAATAGTAAATTAATTTTTAGTTTGAAATACCTAAAGTATTTGTATTTGAGACGAAACCAAAAGGTGCCTTACTGACAGTGTATGTATTTTAAACCTGAATAATTACTAAAGAGACCTGTGTACTCAACAGGAATTGGTCAATAGGGTATGTTTGTTTTAGCAGAGGTCTTACGGCGCTTGCAACTGCAAAAGGTCACATGATCATATGAGCGCCAAGGGGCGGATGTCAACAGAGAAGTCCTTACAGGGAATCAGACTTACTCTGCTCACCTCTCTAGCTTCAACAGCACAAAATCTGCTTCAACTATCAAGGCACCCCCCAAATAGCGGGTCACAAAAGTGTGACAAACATACCAAAGAAGTAGAGGAAAATGACAATAGTAAGGATTAGGAAAGAAAAATCAGCAGTTCCCTGTTGTAGTTCAGGCACACTTATGAGCATGACATTGTTGGATCAGCCCATTTACAATTCCACTGCGCATTAGAACGAGAAATGTCACCCTTTTGGGAATGGCCTAAAATCTCTTCGGTCAGTGGCACTGCCTTGAGGGGTCAGGGTCTTACCTAAGTACGAATTATGACGGCTGAACTGTAAATAAAATTTTAGTTTGCACTACCTAGTTTGTATTTCAGACAAACCAAAAGGTGCCTCATGCCGTACTGACATGCATATTTTAAACGTGAATAGTTACTAGATCTACTGAGACCTATGTACTCAACAGGTTTCAGTCAATAGGACCTAACCTAAGTATTAGTACGGCTAGACAGCTAGGCTAGCCACTTCGAATAGTTCTGCTGTGACACTAATCTGCTGTGGGAAGAGTTTTAAAAAAAAGAGAGGCCTACAATTTTACTTTTATTAACTCATTCCTCCCGGAGCTCTGTCGTCGCTGGCAGAACGCGGTTTACTCAGTCGTCGTTTCTCATAAGGTTATATTAAAAACAGTTCCTACTGCTATTTTCGGCAATTTTTTGCAACTTCCGAATGTATTTTGTGTCAAGACCGGAAGCTTCACTGCTAGTTTTGTTATTAGTCAGCTTTTTAAAGAGAATTTTGCATGGTTTCTTTAGTCTGAAGTGTCAATCGAAATAAGGCAAACCCGTTTGTTTACAATGGCAACAATGGCTTGAGGCAACGGTTAAGGCAAAACGAAAGCCTCGTTAAGTTTTTTGCTGGTCAACTTGACTAATAAAGCTTTTACATAGTCAGCCACACTGACTTAGATTTCAATAATAATTTCCAACTGGTGGGAATAGTAGTGACGATACTGATAACAGGGATGAAACAGACCAGATTTTGAGTGGGCATCGTACTCTATCAGAGTTAGCAGGTGAATCATCAATTAGTTATAACCTGCCCCCAAGGTCTAGATCTAACACAATGTCAACAAGGCTGGTACAACTGCTCAAGTACTAGATTTATTATAAGGATAGAATTAGTTGAGCTAATTGCAGGTCTAGGTCTACTGTCAGGGGAGATCTTGGTTGTGGCTAACTAGCATTTCCTGTATTGTAATTAAGTTCCAAATTATTGAACAAGATCTGTGCTGGAATACCAATATATATGTAAAGGTGATTTACACATATATATAAACATTCCTGTTGAGTATCAGTTTGTATTTCATGTGTAATAGTGACAGCAAGTTAGATCAAACTCATCAAACTAGCCAATTTCATTATTTTTCAGACTTTATTATCTCCCCTGAATTGCGTTTTCATATCGTCGGCCTTGTGATAAAACCGGCTAACCCCAGCGAGGTAAATTTTACAGGAGAAGGAAAAAACTGTTTTATTTCAAAACAAAGGTGTCTAACGATAAATCAATGCTTTAAACAGTTATAAAAACACTTTACCGAAAAACTGTAGACCTTTTTTTTCTTAAAAAATCGCT